AAACGTCTGATACTAAATCTCACTGCTACGCACCCAAAGTTCAAAGAGACGTGGAAATTTTATCACGATGCTGGGCAGGCATTTTGATCTGAACCCAGATGGTGACAGATACTTCAGTGTAGCTGTCAAACCATGTTACCGTAGGGAGGGGAAAAAAAATCAGGCCCAAGCTAATTGAATTTACATTTCTTCTCTGTTTTTCTCAAGAAAGTGAAAAACCTAGATTAAAAAAAAAAATCGTTTCACGTCAAGTGACACATCCCATTCAACTTGAAACAAACTGGGTCATTTCTGGTACTTCAGAAAAGCAAAGGAAATAAAGGCATAGTTTGAAAAGCCTGTTCGAAAAGGAGGAACGCACAAGCTTGCCCTTTTAGTCCAGTAACCACGTCTGGTTTTGGAAGCAAAACCAAGATGTAAAGGAGAGCCAAGCTCTGCGATGTGAAAGGCCTCACTCGGTTCAGAACTCTGCCATAAACCTGCAAATAGATGAAAACGTGTCCTGCCCCAATTTTACAAACAGACCATGGGGTATGCTGCTGTGAAGCAAATCTATCCTGCCACCCCTTTGACTCCCGCTAGTTCACAGCAAGGAAACCCAAGTTTCTCTTTCACCATGGAGCTGGGACAGCCACCCAAAACGTGGGGGTGAGGAGCCAGCTCCAGTCCCTCCCCACCAGGACACGGACACTCGACCAGGGGCCGTATCAACAGGCCAACAACCCCTCTACCCAGAGCGACCCCTGTCCGGGTGACTGCAGAGCCCTTCACGTACGCCATGGCCTGCTCAGGCTGCAGACCTGGGCCTAGGCCCCCCTCAACCTGAGCACATCTGAAATCACACTGAGAAGAGGCATCACAGGCAGCTTTGGGGAGCCTACTGCCTTACAGACTTCTTGACTGGCTTATCAACTACAAAACTAGAAAAATAATACTCCAACATTCATTTCCTACTTTTAACTTCCTCTCTTTTCTAACCTACCCAAACTATCTGGCAAAGGCTACGACATTGACTCTTGTTTCACGATAAAAAGGCAAATGCACTGTCTTCCTCAGCCCTCTCCCAGTCCTCTTTACCCCACACCCCAGTATCCACCCACTGAAACCCAGGGGAGCCTTTCCAGTGACTTTAGGATATACCAGACTCACAGAGTCACAGCGTGGTGGGGTGGGAAGGGACCCCTGGAGCTCCCCCAGTGCAGCCCCTGCCAGAGCAGGGTCACCAGAGCAGTCACACAGGAACACGGCCAGGGCTTTGGGTGTCTCCACACAAGGAGACTCCACAACCTCTCTGGGCAGCCTGGGCCATGCTCCAGAACCCTCACGCTCACAAACTTTGGCCTCATCTTCAGCTTGAACCTCCTGTGCTCCAGCTTGGGACCACTGCCCCTTGTCCTGGCATTGGACATCCCAGAGCAGAGCCTGGCTCCTTCCTCCTGACACTCGTCCTTGAGATATTGATGAGCATTGATGAGATCCCCCCAGTCTCCTCTTCTCCAGCTGAACAGCCCCAGCTCTCTCAGCCTTTCCTCGTGTGGGAGATGCTCCAGTTCCCATCACCTCAGTGGTTTCAGACTCCTCCCATTCCAGTGGCCTTCCTACAGACCTCCTAAATTCACACCATCGACCACACAAAAGCCGAACGCAGTGTGTAACACAGGTAACACCACACAGGGCTCCCTGCACACACGAGGGGAAAGCAGGGTATCAATATGGCTCCCCAAAAGAGCCAGTGCCACACTGGGAACATGTCTGGTTCCACAGCGGTGACAGGGGAACAAGATGGCAACGTCTTGTGTCCCCCCCATCAGCTCAGCTGTGTTTCAGGCCCCTGAGCAGAGCCCAGATGACCTGGGCAGGGTCTGCCCGTGACAGGCATCTTGTGGCCAGAGTGGTAGTGAAGAGGCCTAGGCTCCAAGTAGCGCTGTCCTTCCACATCTGCATCACGCTGCTACTGCCAAGGCACCCATTTTATAGGGGGAAGGCACTTCCAGGTAGTTTTGTGGATTAATTCAGAAGCATTTCAGCCTATGACTTTCTGTTCTAACAGCGCACCATCTTTATCTGTCGGGAGTTACGGGATGGAAAAGGCAGCTTTGTGACAAAAAAAAAAACCACCCAATTTTTCAGATGGGTTAAACAAAAGGCAAGAAATTAAGAAGTGAAGTCAGTCAGTGACAGTGCAGGCAGGACAAATACCATCTGAAAAACGCACACTAACGTTGTTAACTAAAGAGTCTGCCCCCAGCAGCGGGGATTTCCTGCCCCACGGCTCATGGCATTCTGTGAAGACACGAACCATAAGCACTCCGGTAAAATTATTTTTGTTTCAATTTGCATACCTTTTTTCTCGGGACGGTCCCTGTCTCTCAGTTTTCAGTTCAAGTCACTGAGGCCTGCTGCAGTCATTATGACATTAGAGAAAATTTTAGGCTACAGAAGCTCAAGATGAACTCGAGCTCTGGATGACAAAAGCCAAAGGAGAAGTCAAAAAGGAGCCTTTCATTCGTTCTCATTAAGCTTCTGACTCCTCATTACTAAAGTACAACGTGGCGTTTCATCAGGCCACCACAAATAAAACAATCTGCATATTAGTTAAAGAAATAGGGGGAAAAAATGCTTTCTGCACCCTTGCAGCGTGGAAACACAACTCCTTTTTCCACGTGCTGAGACATAAAAGCCAACAATAACACGAGGATGTAAGACCCCTTGGAAATGTTCTGACTGACAAAGAACTCCTAAGGGCAGGTGAGTGGTGGTACCACGTTAATACAATTACACCAGCGACATCTCAACACAAAACTACCTTTTAACAAACCCCTTTTGCTCTCTGGATAAATCAATTTATTACCTCTTAAAGCAACTCAGAACTCCACCACTTCAGACTTAGGAGAACAATTACCTTATTTACAAGCGCTCTTCTCTGTAATTCAAAGTAATAAGCCTTTCTTGTTGCCAAGACCTACGTCTAAAATGGGTTTCGCTGTGAATTAAAAACCTGAGAGACTAAAACTCGTCTCAGCTTCTGAGTGGCTCGAAAGCTAGTTCAAAGATTTCATAAATGTCAAATGCATCAACATCTGACAAGAGAGAGCTCTTGAACTAAGCCAGAGCTCTGTGTTCCTCAGAACGTAAGGATGGTTTCAGTCTCAAAAATTTAACTGCATTGCTCCTATAACAAGAAAATGCCTACAAGGAACCTGTGAGCACGTTGCTTAATGTGGAAATCCAGCTTGTACAGCGAGGTGTATTTAATACTCGCTGATTTTGTTTGCAAAGATACTATATAATTTTTAATGTTGCTCTTTGCCTCGCATCAACTCCCAGCCTAAAGAAAAATCTGTGAGACCAGCATGTGTAATTGAACCGACTCCAGTTTCACCGCTGTGTCAGGATGTGCAAGGATACACACACTGTAAACTTGATTTCCTCTGGGTATTTTCACATCGCAGCCACTTCATGCACAGTTATTGAGGCAGTACAGTAAGAGTGCTGCGAGACTTCACCCGCCAAGCCATACACAAAACACACGTGAAAATGAAGTTCTCAATGAGGAGCAGCTTTCTTTGCCCAGAGGTGCTGTTACACGAAGGCATAGGTTAAAACCTCACCAGGTTCTGATTCAGGTCTGGCTTCCAGTTATTTTTGTGCACACCGTTTCTCCACTCAATGGCTACGTTTATGCACTTCCTGCACAGCATTTATTTGTTATGATGGCAGTGCATTTATTGTATCGAGTCAAGCTACTCAATGGCTACGTTTATGCTCTTCACAACATTTAATTGTTACGATGGCAGTGCATTTATTGTATCGAGTCAAGCAAAACAAAGCACAGCAAAAATTACTTTAGTAACAATATTATGCACTGGGTCTGATGCATTTTTTTTCAAACGCAGCAATACTATCCACTGGGTCTGATGCATTTTTTTTCAAACGCAGTATCTGAACATCAGGACAAAATAAATGTTTCCCAGTCAGTGCAGCTACACAGAAGCACAAGAAGAGTCATTACTGCACATTAAAGTATGGAACCTTGTCCTATACATGAAATAAAATACTGTACCTGCAACATAATCATTGGGACTTGGCTTTTACAGTATTTACAGGTTGTCTCCCGGTATTTACAGGTCTTCTCTACGTGGTCTGGCAAATCCTTCCTCAGTATTTTCTCTTTGCAGTCAGCGCGGGGACACGCGAGTTCTTCAAACTGACAATCCGTTTTCAAATGCATCTGGAAGAGTAACAAGAAAACAGTCAGGTCAACTCAGCTGTGGGCATGTCTCCATCCTTGGAGACACCCCGCTTGAAATAACTTCTTTAAATAACTTCTGAACCACAGCAAGCAAAGTTATCTGTGCACTGCGCTGTGCAAGAGCAAACACTAACACATCTACCCAGGAACAGATTTCTGCCTTCACACCCCATTTACCCAGACAGCAGAATGCAGTGTGTTATAGATGTACACGAGCTACTTTCATACTAAAACCATTTGATCACGCTCCAAAATTCCACTCAGGCTATTTGAACAGGAGGTAAGCTTGCATTTCCAAGGTGCATTACTCCAAATAAACACAAATACTGCTTTTAAGTCGTTGAAGCCCCCCAGCTTGCTCATTCAAAGCCAGTTTAAGCACCTGCAGCTCTCACTGCAGACTGCTAAATCACTGATTGCCGCTACGCTCCGTCTTCGAGAAACAGAGCTACAACTTATTCTGTGTAGGTCTGGAGAAGCCAAACATCTAACCCCGTGCATAACCACCACTACAAGAGAGGACTAAGACCGATAAATCAAAATACAAGCACACCAAAAAGGAATTCAAATTTCTCACATCTGTAAAGTACACGTTAAGATTTTTCCCAATTTTAGCTCTCCCTCCCGTTCCCATTTGCTTCGTGCGTTTACATTTCTGAGCTTTAGCGGCCCAGCCACAGCATTTTGGATGAGAATCCCTTATAGCTCATCGAAAAGGTGAGCTTCAAAACAGTCCAGCTCTATTCCAACATTTATAAATCAGATAACCAGCAGTGTGAGCAAGTCAAGAAACGGACTGAGGTCTTAATTCGCAAGGCTTCCCCTCAGACTTTAATTCAAAAAGGAAGCTCGTGGCTGTGTTACGTTACTTACCAGTAGCTGACCCAAAGAAAGTTGTTCTTTACAGCCCTTGTTTTCATTTCTGCAGTATATCTGAAGGGCAAGCAGTTCTCTCCTGCAACAGTTATCTTTAAATACCTGAAAAATCCAAAATCACTTCGTTTAAAAACACTCAAGAACAAGCACGTTCAAATGAAGCACAAGCCATGCAATTTAGCTGCAGCAGTGTCGTTTAATTCTAGTTTCATGTGCCAGAAATTAATTCCTACCATGCCATTTCCCTTGAACGTGCACATCCCAGATTCCTCTGCTATGAAGCAGCTCAGTGAAAGAGAATATTTGGACAGATGCTCTGCAACCGATTCGCTTTTACTATCAATGCAATAAGGGGAAAGGTACAAGAAAGGATTAAATATTTTGCTTTTGCTTGCCAATAATAGGCCTGCATAAGCTCGAACTCTCTAAATTGTCTGGGAAGCTGTGTTTTAGGCCTAATACCACTAAAAAGCAGAGTGGTTTGGAGAGGAAGGATCTGGTAGAAGGGAGTCCCACAAGCACCAGAGCAGTAACACATAATTTAAGACATTTTCAAAGGTCTGAGACTGGAGGAGGTTTATTATTTATAGATAAGAAGGATTTGAGCACCTCTCCATTTTAATGTTTATAAGTCCTTTCAGCATTTTTTTGTCTGTAACAGGACTGCAAGAAGTCAGAAACAGAGCACTCGACGTTTGGATTTTTCACTTTTAATGGGCAATGCCCCTTAAAAGATAAAGAGAAATCACAGCTGCACTCTCAAGAAGCCCCCCTGCTATGGGCAGTGACCATTAAGAAATTCCAAAGAACTGAGCCCAACCTTTGGCTGCTGCTCTGACAAACGTGATTCTGTGACACAGCATCACAGAGGCACTGAGGTTGGGAGAGACCTCCAAGATCATCCAGTCCAACGTCAACCTAACGCCACCGTGGCCATAAACCATGTCCCCAAGTGCCACATCCCTGCACTTGTTGACACTGTGGGGTCACTGTCATTAAGGAAGGGCAGTGCATGCTAACATAGAACACCAAAACCAATCTGGTCAGATCTGAATCCACCTCAGCATTGGTGAGAAGGAAACGCTGCAGCCATCCTCATCTGATCCCATCTGATGCAGGTCACTGATTTCTGCTTAATTTTCAGATGTGTGTGTGAAGTTTAATGTATCAACAAATCTCACTTGAATTAATTTTCCCAAGTAATTCACAGTGTTACTAGGTGTCATTTAGCATGTCAAAACTGAATTACTGCTCAGAGAACTACTTTGTGTTGAGACAAGGAGAGATTAATGTACCCACTAACCTTTTCTTGAAATTGGTCATTATTACAGAATCCCAGCACGTCAGGAGTGGGAAGG